AAACTCATCTTGAGGAGAAAGAATGCTGAGTTGCATCCAAAGAACACCATACCTACTGTGAAGCATGGGGGTGGAAATATCATGCTTTGGGGCTGTTTTTCTGCAAAGGGACCAGGACGACTGATCTGTGTAAACGAAAGAATGAATGGGGCCATGTATCGTGAGATTTTGAGTGAAAACCTCCTTCCATCAGCAAGGGCATTGAAGATGAAACGTGGCTGGGTCTTTCAGCATGACAATGATCCCAAACACACCGCCCGGGCAATGAAGGAGTGGCTTCGTAAGAAGCATTTCAAGGTCCTTGAGTGGCCTAGCCAGTCTCCAGATCTCAACCTCATAGAAAATCTTTGGAGGGAGTTGAAAATCCGTGTTGCCCAGTGACAGCCCCAAAACATTACTGCTCTAGAGTAGATCTGCATGGAGGAATGGGCCAAAATACCAGCAACAGTGTGTGACAACCTTGTGAAGACTTACAGAAAACGTTTGACCTCTGTCATTGCCAACAAAGGGTATATAACAAAGTATTGAGATGAAATTTTGTTATTGACCAAATACTTATTTTCCACCATAATTTGCAAATAAATTCTTTAAAAATCCTACAATGTGATTTTCTGGATTTTTTTTCTCATTTTGTCTCTCATAGTTGAGGTATACTTATGATGAAAATTACAGGCCTCTCTCATCTTTTTAAGTGGGAGAACTTGCACAATTGGTGGCTGACTAAATACTTTTTTTCCCCACTGTAAGTCTACCTACACACTCTGACTAACATCAGACTGGCAAGTTTGTGAGCGTAAGATCCACGTAAGGCCAACGTGAGACTTAAAAGAGACATTAGGTCCCCAGTGAACAGATAATTGAAAGTATAGTGAGTCCGGAAAAATCAAATATCTAAATTAATATACAATCAATATTTGTGATCATTAAATTTAGGCAATATTTCTAATTAAAAACTGATGTAAGTCTACCTACACACTCTGACTAACATCAGACTGGCAAGTTTGTGAGCGTAAGATCCACGTAAGGCCAACGTGAGACTTAAAAGAGACATTAGGTCCCCAGTGAACAGATAATTGAAAGTATAGTGAGTCCGGAAAAATCAAATATCTAAATTAATATACAATCAATATTTGTGATCATTAAATTTAGGCAATATTTCTAATTAAAAACTGATCACTTGAAATTGGAGTCAGATTGAACACGGAGCTAGGCTAAAATTGATAAATTCAGAAGCGCAAGTAAAAGACCGAATATGCATTAAACCTTCGCTGTTTTGGGCTGGCAGGTGGATTCTTACATGTGGAAAATAATGTGTTTTTTTAACCTTAAACAGCATAAACACTTTGCATTACACCAAATACACCAAATAATTTTATTTTTAGCAACGTCATATGACCCCTTTAAGAGTTGCAGGTTTCCATGTTCACCACATCCTGTGACAAAGTCAGCATGAGATTGTCTCACACAACAGCGGTACGATACAAGCCCTTTTGCAAAACTAGTGAATACCTGTATGCCAGTGATGATAATTAATGGACATCTCACTCATTTTACTAAAATTGGCCACTTCAGTGGTCAGTTTTCTAATTAGAAAATACATTGTTTTGTTTAAAAACTGAATTTCAGATTCATTAGATTTTAGTGACTACATACCAGCTTCGTCAAATACTTTATTTTCAGATCTGTATAAGAACCACACCATGAGAACCAGTCAACCACAGAGTTTCCTTTGAGTGGACAATTTCAATTGTAACCACTTTAAAATTGGAACACTGTCTTTATAGTTTATAATTCTGACTCTTTCTTGTCAGTGCGACTGTCAGTGTCATGTGTTAGGACAGTAAGATCTATATTAACTGTAACTGCAGTTAATATGGTTTTACTAACACTTGTTTTGATCCTGCCCAAGTTTCTGGTTTCTAGTTACATTCTGATAGTGTTGGCAAACACGTATGCACTTAATATTGTTTCCAAGGTCATACAGCTTTAACAATAAAAATAATTGTAACATTTTGTATAACAAGCTAATAATTTTAAATTCAACTTCACTTTAGAGAAAAAGTGATGTGTCTGAAGTGTGCGAGGGGGGCGGGTTTAACAGTCAGCAGTGAGTTAACAGTTAACAGTCAGACCACAATGAGCTGCTTTCTGTCTCACTGTGCCGATATGTTTTTTTAAAGCGTGGAGTTTATCAAAATCACAAAATGTACAGAGGACTGCTATTTATGATTGGTATGTAATTATTTACAATGTTGATGTTAATGTTTATATTTAATGATAACATTTATTTGAGTTGTCATGATTTAAACTGTTCTTTATTTGAATCTGAAAATGTCTGGGCAAATGTAGAAACAATATTATTAAAACACAATTAATCTTATTACATTGTCCCTATGAAATAAAAGTATGTGGTCTGAATTATTTTGTATGTTACAGTCATATGGAGTGTGACCGGGTTCAACATTCAAATAACTCCTGTGAAGCATTTCAAAAAAGATGATCCACTCTTTGGTCAAACCATTATTCAATCAACAGATGGGTTGGTCATATATTAGAGTTTTATATAATTCTAGCTATATTTTTTTATTTTTTATTTTTTTTAAGTAAATTCAATTAGATTCTTTTTTATTTAAGATCATCATAAAGACCATTATTGACCTATTTTAGTAAAATTGTCTTAATTTGTCCTATTCTAGAGTTTTTGTTCCTTCCCCAAAAAATGGAGCACTTTTCAGATGCACCTTAAAGGATGAATGCATTGAAGTAAATTCTGATGGTACATTTGTCCTTGTCTTTTCATACTGATGATTACTCTCAGTAATCAGAACTTTACTTTGTTAATTTCATAATGTCCTCATTGATTTACACAATTACCTTTTCACTGTAAAAGTCTTATTATGTCAATATCTCTTTTAAAGATGAAAAACCTAAAGGCCTGAGACCGGTAGCATCAGTATCTAGCCTGACATCAGAAGAGGAACAACGTATTATGGTATTTATAAAGATCCTTAAATACAAGGATGTCAGATATGGCCGGCAACTGTTTTATTTTCAACCTGATTATACTTACAAAAAGTTGAGCACAAAGCTATACCAAACAATTAAACTGTTTATAATCAGTTTGCACAAGACTTTGAGTCTGTCGCACAGCATTTTCACAGTAAAACCACAGAGTGTGGTTTCCCCTTTACATATGTGACAGACAGAAATGTATAATTTCTCTTAAACTACTTCAGTCTGTGTGCATTGAATTTATTTAATACACAAGTTTCACAATTTGAGTTGAATAACTGAAATACGTAAATGAACTTTTCCACGACATTCTAATTTATTGAGATGCACCTGTATTTCAGATTCAAGCAGATAAAATCCTACCCTTACCTTTCAAAATCTCTTTCTTCTCAGTCAACAACAACAACAACAACAACAACAATCATTATCAAGGTGCAAGGACTGGTCAAGGTGAGCTCATCTGAGAAAAAAAAAATGTGTTACCTTAGTTTGAAAGAGTTGAAAGATTCTTAGTTTTAAAGAATCCGATTGCTAATCTACATTTTTATCAATATCTACAAGATCAACAGAAGATGAGAAGAGACGCCCAGCCAGACAGTGACACAAAAGATAAGGATTATGATGGTACTAATCTTGTTTTGCCTTTAAAATAAATTAATATTACATTCATTATGTCATGCTGATGGTGTTGTACAACAGATACAAAGAAAAAACCATCGTCATGTCACGTCATGTCAAACCATCATTTCTATATCTTTTGTAGATATATATTTTTTGATAGATTTTGTAGTTCTACACTAAAAAGCCACAAAAAAGCCAAGTACATTTTTGACATTCTTTAAAAAGTATAGAACTGAATGTAAGTTATTGCTATGACTAGTGCTTAAGGACATTCCCTTGATGTAACATCGGGGGGGAAGGTTAGGATGATTTCAAAGACCCTGATCAGAGAGGCCATTATAAGAGAACATTATGGATTCAATAAGGGATTGTTGTCAAGGTTGCAATGAATTGTCAAAAATTAATGCAATCACGTAATGTTAGGTAGAAATATGTGTATATTTTATTTAATTTTTTTTTCAAAGTTAGGATATAGTCTCTAACATTTTGAGCTATTTATTTTCAGACTATTTAAGCAACCATACAAGTTGCCGCTAATAGCTCAACTTCAACACTAAAGCAACAATTAATGCCTTGAACAAAGAAACAAAATACAAACAACAGGACAAATACAATAAAATAAAGAGACAATGATGAAAAAAAATGGTGCTTTAAAGTTTAAAATTCAGTAGCTTTCATTAATACAGAATGTACATCCTATGGGTGCAGCTAACACTTGAGTAAAACATTTATACATATTATAGATAAAGATAGATAAAGTATTGAATGAAGATAACGAAGATTTGAAATTTACTTCTGTCACAGTGAATGTGCCACTCCCATCAAAATCTGCACTTCTGTCTCCTGCTACAAACCAAATGGAAAATGAAAAACTCAACAACAACAACAACAACAATCATTATCGAGGTGGAAGAATTGAGGAAGGTTAGTTTGTTTATAATTTAATGTCATGCCATCTACCAAGACTATATTCATGGTGAGAGACAAAAGAAAATAGAAAAAGTTAAATAAATAAGCCGTTCTTAATAAATGTAAGATATAAGCTACAAACAATTTTTTTTTATCTTTGATAAAAAGAAAATGGCCTCACTTCATTAAAAACCTTTTCATAAGAATTTATCTGAAACGAGAGGAGTTAAAACCACATAGTCCATTAAAATATGCTTCAGAAATATTGGAGAGCACATCTGAAATTGAAATAAACTGTTGCCTTAATGTTACTAATTTAAGGAATCCGATTTATAATTTGCATCTCTGTCAATATCTACAAGTTAAACGGAGGATGAGAAGAGACGCCCAGCTGGATAGTGACACAGATGAAGATGAGGATGAGGATGGTACTAATATTTGTTCAGCCTTTGAAATAAATCCACATTTAGGCTATTATTTCATACTGATGGTGTTGTACTACAGATGCATAAATCAATGAAGCCATTATTTATATACTGATGTTTCAGATGATCTTTTGTAGATGCTGGGACAGAGATTGCTTTTGTGCTGGATGGCTCTGGTAGCATTCAACATGATGACTTTCAGAGAGCCAAAGACTTTATCTACAATGTCATGTTTAATGTTTGGAACACATGTTTCGATGCAAGTATAAACTAAAGTATTTTATGACACATTTTAAGGACAATTTAAAAGGTATTTTATCTTTAAAAAAAAACTAAAAAAAAAAACCTCTCTCTTCAGTGTAACTTTGCAATAGTGCAATATGGTAGTAAGATCAGGACAGAGCTCTCACTACTAGACAATGACAACGGGGCCAGAACCTTGCAAAAGGTCAAAGAAATACAGCAAATTTACAATCTCACAAAGACCGCCTCAGCCATCCATCATGTCCTGTGAGTTTACAGATTATGATATGAAATATGACATTTTACACCTTAAGTGTTTGATTAACATGGAGCACTTTTGTTGGTGATAAGTTAATGTCATGATCTCACTGGTTTCACTGGTTGTTTACAGCACAGATATTTTCATCCCTGAGAATGGATCAAAGATTGACTCCAAAAAAATAATCATTGTATTGTCTGACGGAGAAATTTTGGGAGACAATATGATTCTTTCTGATGTTTTGAACATGCCACAAATGAAAGGTGTCACTCGCTATTCCATAGGAGTAAGTGTCCTGTTTACTGCTTATTTCCACAGCATTTTAGATAATAAATAACATTTTGAAGTTTTTAAATGTACATCATCTGTTGGAGTTACAAATTACAGTCATTTATTTTAATTTGTCTTGTAGATACATCTAGAGTCCTACTAAAACACTCACATCATCTATATTACTCATAGCTTGCTATTGTATAGTTAAGGATTTTATTATGGTTTAACCAAATAAATCATAAAACCCATACACTTGCAATAACCACTGTTACCTTTAGGTTGGTGACGGCATTCTGAAAAAACCTAAAGCAATACAAGAGATGACGGACATAGCAGACCGTGGCAAATTTTTCAATGTTTCCAATTATGCTGCATTAGATGACATTCTGTCATCACTGCAACAAAGTTTAATTGGAATTGAAGGTAAGAAAGTTTTCAGTAAACATTACACTGTAATAGAGAAAGGCAGTTTTGTGGATCGTTTGCATGCTAAAATCTGATTGGATGAGCTGCTGTAGCCTAGATAAACAACCTTTGTAAAATTAAGCCTTTCTGATAATCAGAGTGATACTGTTTTTATACAACAGTTTTATACAACAGAACAAGAAGTAAATAACTGAGTATGGCCACATTCACACAGCAGTAGAATACGGTTGTCAGTCCTGTATTTGAGTCATTAATATGGTTATGTTCACACACAGTTCGGTTATTTACGGGTGTGACAACCGCATTCTGTAACCGAACTCACACCTGTAAATTTTCAGGACTCACAACCGCATTCTCGGAACATGCGCTGTGTGAATGGAACAGGACTGGACAACTAGTGTCTGTCACGTCACAGTGCGAGAGAGTCGCTCTGCCGCACAAACACACGTCTACCGTGTGGTGCGTGTTTTCTTGTGTGTTTTCAGTAACTTAAAGTGACGGAGAAATGAGCTGTGTGTCATCTGAAAGTTTCAGGGTTTGACTCCCGTTGCACATTCATACAGACAGTATTCTAAACACAACTGTAAGCTGCTGTGTGAACGGGACATTTCGAGACTCACACCTGTAAAGAAAATGCGGTTGTCAATCCCAAAAACTGACCGTGTGAACGTAGCCAACAAACATTGTTCTAAACAAAGCCATTGTAGAATCAAGCATTTTATCTCCAATCAACACATATAGATGGTTTTTTCCTGCATGAATCGGCGTACTTGAAGGAATCGGTTAAGTGAATGTTTCAATGACTCCTCCATAAAGAGCTAGTTTTCTTTCAAACATTCTCTCAGTATCTCACTAAGGGAAACACCTCTGGGCGTAACCGATCCTGGAAGCACCAATTACACCACATCTGTCAGTTGACAGACCAATCACGACAAATTTATACCACTGCCGGTGGTCCCCACTTCTTTCTCGTTCTCTTCCCCGTGAAGATCCTTTTGGGAAGCTATCCTCAGCAGTTCCTCGCAGGGAGTGGCCGCTAAACAGTTCACTTGACGAGACGGTGTTTTTAGGTACGTCTCTGAACTTTTTCCTTATTTTTCAGAGAGAATATTCACTGTCAAAGTGAATATTTTTCTTCTGCTGTCTTTTCTGGTGGGAACTAATGCGTCGAGGCGAGTTCTCATTTTCATATCTCGGGCCGTTACAGCTCTTTTTTTTCACCACGTTAAGTGGTGTGTCAGATTAATATTTCTGTATTAGCGTCTCTGTTATGGCGACTGCGAACCCATCTAGCAGCGCAGCTAAGGGTAAAGATCCCTCTTGCCTGTGCGCTTGCAGGACTATGATTTCGTCCAAAGACTCTCATCCTCTATGCATTGTGTGTCTGGGAGTTAGACACGCACAGGCCATGCTGGCTAATCCCGAGTGCTGCCCGCTCTGCTCTCTTTTCCCGTTAAGGGTATTAGAGCGCAGAATGCGAGTCGCGGCCGCGAATAAGGAGGATCTGAGTTTTTCCGCGCCACCTGTGGACAAAGACGAAGCGGCTCAGCCAACCCAGTATAGCTGGGGAGAGTTAATGGACGAAATCTCTCCTGAACTTCCCCTTCTCTTTGAATCAGACCCCTTGGCGGGGGATAAAGAGGAGAAGGAAGACGATGAGATGATCGCTCATCTTTTGGAAGAGGATTTAGAAGAAGTCAAGTCAAGTCATCTTTATTTATATAGCGCTTTTAACAATACAGATTGTGACAAAGCAACTGAACAGCATTAATTAGGAAAATAGTGTCAATAATGCAAAATGACAATAGTAAACACTCATTTTTCAGTTAAAGACAGTTCATCATTGAATTCAGTGATGTCAACATCCAGCTCAGTTTAAATAATATCTTTGCAATCAAGTCAACGATATCGCTGGAAATGAAGTGTCCCCAACTAAGCAAGCCAGAGGCGACAGCGGCAAGGAACCAAAACTCCATCGGAGACAGAATGGAGAAAAAACCTTGGGAGAAACCAGGCTCAGTCGGGGGGCTAGTTCTCCTCTGACCAGACGAACCAGCAGAACGGAAAAATCAATATAAGACGTAATAAAACAGACGATGAATAATATTAACAGCAATTATTATATGCCCGTGGGGGCATATAAGAAGAAGATGAAGAGGATGCAATTCTCCCTTCTAATCTCTCTTCCAGGCCTAACAGTGCGACTGGGGAGTCTCCCTCCCCCATACAGGGAGACTTGGACCTTATTGAAATATGTAGGAGAGCAGCTGCTAAACTCTCTATCGACTGGCCATCACAAAAGGAAGGCCAGGGCACAGAGAGTGATTTATATGATTTATATATACGTCGCGCACTTCCCCAGCCATGCAGCTGATTCCAGCCGTCCCAGCATGTGTTGCAGAGATGTGCCGTTTTTGGGACAAACCATTTCTTTCACAGAGTGCCTGTTAAAGGTTTTTCTCTAAGCTCGATGTACTTAACATAGAGGAACTGGGAATGTCCAACCCCCCCTCCCCCCAAGTTTCTGTTAATGGTGTTTCTGGCATTGAAACTTTTTGTGCAGGTTCTAAAGAACCAGCACGTTTTGATCAGATCAGAGAGCACAACGGCGGTGGCATACATAAATCATGGGAGGCACACGCTCCCCTCAGCTTCACAGTCTGGCACAGAAACTGATCGTGTGGGGCGCAAAGCATTTTCATTCACTACGGGCAATGCATGTCCTGGGAATAATGAATGTGGGGGCAGATCTCCTGTCCAGAGGAAATCCTCTGTATGGAGAATGGACTTTCCACCCTCAGGCAGTGAGCCAGTTGTGGGAGAGGTTCGGCTGAGCTGCCATAGATCTCTTCGCCTCGCACGAAAACACTAATTGCCCTCTATTCTTCTCTCTGGCGAGAGACGGTACGCCTGTGGGTGTGGATGCTCTGGCGCACCTGTGGCCAAACGCACTACTGTACGCGTTTCCTCCACTGAGTCTGATCGTACCAACGGACCAGCCAAGACTGATCACACCGGTGTGATCGTACGCTTCAGGGACCAGCCAAGACTGATCACACCGGTGTGATCGTACGCTTCAGGGACCAGCCAAGACTGATCACACCGGTGTGATCGTACGCGTCAAAGGGTTAAAAAGAGTAAGGGAATGTGGTCACTCAGTTATACTAATCACCCCGAAATGGCCAGGGAAGTTGTGGCTGATGGTGGTATTTTCTGGGGGAATCTGTTCAACTGTTCAAGCGCGCGGAGAGATTTTTCACCCAGCCCCGGAAAATGTGGCTCTTTGGGCCTGACCCGTGAGAGGTTAAACTTGAGTCTTACAGGTTTGCCTGTGAGGGTGATTGAGACTATTCAGAATGCACGAGCAGCTTCAATGAGCTCTGCATACGATCATAAGTGGAGTGTATTTCAGTGATGGTGCAGTGATCGTCCCTTTTCTCTGTTCTGTCGCAAATATGTTATGTTTTCTGCAGAAACTTTTGGATAAGGGCAGAGCCTTTTCAACTGTTAAGGTTTATCTTGCCGCAATTTCTGCATGCCATGTGGGGATTGACAGAAATACTATAGGTCAACACCCGCTTGTATGCAGGTTTATGAGAGGTGCGCGGCGTTTGCACAGGGTTTCAAAGCCACTGATTCCGCCGTGGGATCTGTCTGTGGTCCTTAATGCACTATCTCAGTCCCATTTTGAGCCTATAGAGAATATTGAATTAAAGCTCCTTTCGCTAAAGGCTGCTTTATTATTGGCTCTTTCGACCGCGAAGCGGGTTAGTGAACTTCACGCTTTATCAGTTCATAACTCCTGTATGCAGTTCGCTATGGATTACTCGAGAGTAACTCTCAAAACTAATCCAGCGTTTGTGCCTAAGGTGCGCAGGTCAGCTCTCACTTGTAAACAGGTGGATTTACTGGCTTTCCATCCACATTGCCTGTGCCCTGTCCGTGCGTTGCATCACTATGTGGACAGAACGAAAGCACTAAGGAACAGTAATCAGTTATTTGTTTCTTGGGCTGATTCTCATAAGGGTAAACCTATTTCACGTCAGCGCCTGTCCCACTGGGTAGTGGAAGCTATTATAGTAGGTTATAATAGCATGGGTCTCTGTCCTCTGGAAGGGCTAAGAGCTCATTCTACCAGAGGTATGGCCACCTCATGGGCACTATTTAAGGGCGTTTCAGTTCAGGACATTTGTGCAGCAACAAGTTGGACATCGCCTCACACATTTGTCCAATTTTATAGACTGGATGTCACTGAGCCATCGCTGGCTCATTCCGTCCTAAGCAGTGCTTGAAGTGGGCCGGTACGCACCGGTACGCAGTACCAGCACTTCTATATTTTAGCCTTTAGAGTACCTGCACTTTTTTGTGCGTACCGGCACTTCTGACATGTTGCCGGTACTCAGAGCAAAAGCGTCAGGGTCTGGGTGATTATATGTTCCCATAATATGATTAGAAATGACACTATATAAATTACACTACCCAGGCGAGATCACCTCTCATCTCGACCAATCACGTGAATGTATGCAAGCTTACCCTGCATTCCATTCGGAAGGGCTCATCCTTATGCCCTAATCCCTTCAAGGGTTTACCCTCCGGAGTGAGAGCCTTTAGAGTACCTGCACTTTTTTGTGCGTACCGGCACTTCTGACATGTTGCCGGTACTCAGAGCAAAAGCGTCAGGGTCTGGGTGATTATATGTTCCCATAATATGATTAGAAATGACACTATATAAATTACACTACCCAGGCGAGATCACCTCTCATCTCGACCAATCACGTGAATGAATGCAAGCTTACCCTGCATTCCATTCGGAAGGGCTCATCCTTATGCCCTAATCCCTTCAAGGGTTTACCCTCCGGAGTGACAGCTTCTAAGGGTTGAAGGGTGTAGGGAACCAAACAACTGTTTCTTGAAGTGCCCTTCTGCGTCATCATCATGTGCCCACACGGAGACGCCGTCATCATGCAAAGAATCTACACAAAAGATCATGGGAGCCCGAAGTGTCCATCAGTTGTACCCTCACTTGAGTTGAGTACCGGCACTTCTTTTTTTCCACTTCAAGCACTGGTTCAAAGTGTGTAAAAAAAACGTTTTTAACTCGTTCGTGGGTTTTTTTGTTGACATACTGTATATTCCTGTTCTATTCTTAGAATAGTTACAGGTGTTGTGTTTATGTTACACACATCACTGAGTTGGTTGACATGACTGCTTCGGACAGCATATCTGCAATATGGGAGTTGTCTATATCCCTTAGTGAGATACTGAGCAAATGTTTGAAAGGGAACTTTAGGTTACTTACGTAACCCCGGTTCTCTGATAATATGAGTGAGGTATCTCACCACACTTCCCTCCTTGCAGTGCATGGAGAAGAGATATGCGGAGAATGAAGTGGGGACCACCGGCAGTGGTATATATTTAGGGAGGCAGGACTCCCGCATCGCTGTCGTGATTGGTCTGTCAACTGACAGACGTGGTGTAATTGGTGTTTTTAGGATCAGTCACGCCCAGAGGCATTTCCCTTAGTGAGATACCTCACTCAACCAAGTCACCTCTCTCAACTCAGAGAACCGGGTTTACATAAGTAACCTAACGTTATTTAGTTCCCAAATGAGTCAGTGTGTTTTAATTAATTGTTAAGTGAATGATCAATGACTCACTCGTGAAGACAAACACTTGTTGCCATCTACTGGTTTTTCATGCAATTATCTGAACACTTTGTGTCTCAGGCACTCAGCAAGGTGCAGGATTTCAGTTCCAGCTTGCTGAAGCTGGATTCAGCACCCATCTCATGCAGGATGTAAGTAGAATTTTTGGTTTCTGATACCTTTTATTTGAGAAACTAATCTTCGTATCACTATTAAGAATGTGTGGATGTTTGCAACAACTTTTCCCAAGTTGATTCATTGTTATACTCAGGGGCGCTGCTAGCAATTTTGGGCCCTATGAAAGAATATGAGGTTGGGCCCCCTACCGCACCAAACATACACTATATTGCCCAAAGTATTGGGACACCCCCTTCTAATGAACAGGTTTGACTACTTTAGTCATTTTAAAAACATGACTGGTCTGCATAAAGCCAAGTCCTAATCCCAGCTGAACACCTCTGGTGTGACTTTAAATTCAGACCGTGAGCCAAAAACTCTTCACCAAACACCAGTGACTTGTACATACATATGGACAAAAGTATTAGGACACCCCCTTCTTTAGAACAGAAAAAGGCACTTCCAAAACTGTGGCAACAAAAATGGAAACATAATTCATTTTGTATTTCTATCTTTGTTGCCACAGTTTTGGAAGTGTCTAAAATGACTGTACCCATATGTACAATTCATTGGTGTTTGGTGATGAGTTTTTGGCTGAAGGTCTGCATTTAAAGTCACACCAGAGGTGTTCAGCTGGGATTAGGACTTGGCTTTCTGCAGACCAGTCAAGTTCTTCCACACTGACTGAATCAGTCTTTTTTTCTTTTCTTTTTTACCTTGCCTAGGCATTGTCATGTTAGAATAGAAAAGGGTCCTGTTCAAACTATTGGTGTAAAATTAGAAGCACACAATTCCCTAGAATATCCTTATTTGTTTAAACATTAAGATTTGTACTCATGGAAATTACTAAAGTAGTCAAACCTGTTAATTAGAAGGGGGAGTCCCAATACTTTTGGCAATATAGTGTACAAGCCATCCTAGCAATTCAAAATCTTTGTCTGCAATTTGATAATATTGACCTATTAGCTTACTTTTGCTATGGCCTTTGACCATTAGGTATCAGTAACATAATTAATTCAGAACCTGTTCTATTGACATAGACTTTCTTTGCCACACTATTCTGCTGATATAGAATGAGTTTGACTACTTGATCAGTTATATTAATAGAAATGCTTCACTGGGGCAAACAAAAAAATCCTAAAATAATAAATAGGATGCCCCATAACACCAGCATTTCCAGTAGTATCTGACTATTAGCTTAACAGCTGTATTCCTTGTTTGCTAGCTACCTATGCACATACAGCATACAATGTTAAAAATGTTCTACATTATGAACCTTAACCCAAAAACCTTTAGCTTCATACACTGTAGATAATTGTGACCCTGCCTGTGGAAACCCAGATAAAGTATTTTTTTTAAACAATGGATGAGTAATTCACTCATGGATTTGCTTAATAAAAGCCACCTTTGAGATTGTTTTGACAGACATGTTTATTGTGTATTATTTTCAATGTGTTTATTTCTAAATTTAGTGTGGCAAAATAGAAGCGCAGCCGTAATTCGCGTGCAGTGTATCTGGTTGCCATGACAACCTCAGGCGCTTCCTGCTGCTGCTCTATGTAATCAGAGTGTGAATTTGTAGATTTTAAAAGTACGACTGACCAAATCGTCCGGCTCAGTTTGCCCCCTCCCTCGAACTCTAAGACATCTCTAATTTGACAGTTTACCATCTGATCTCACTCAGTAACTCTAGGCTACGTAGGACGGGACGAAACCATGCAGTGAATGGGGGGAGATAATTTTGCCGGAAATGCAGAAATAAGCCGTAATTTAGTTTTGTTTGTAACTCTTTGGTAGATACATTTATCATTTCTATTACATTACTATTACTACTGTCACTACTAATAAAACAGATCTCTGGGGGCCCCAAAAGTGCGTGGGCCCTTAGAATCGTCCTAACTTTCCCCCCCTTAACGGCGCCCCATACTAATAACATTCATTTGTTTTTGTTTTCTGTGTAGAATTCTTATCTTTTTGGAGCAGTTGGAGCCTATGACTGGAGTGGTGGACTCTTTTTGCAATCTGGTGACACTGTGCAATTCTTGAATGACTCTAATAATGGACCCAAATTTTCCTATTTAGGTGAGTGAAGGTTGGATTTTTGAAGGGGTTTTTAAGGAGGTGTCACATTTATTTGGGTGAGAATTTAAACATCTTTAAAATAAAATGTTGTGAAAGCAGCTGATTTTTTTTTTTTTATGTATATATCTGAATAATTGAAAGTCATCTCAGGTTCATGTTTGTTGAATCTCCTTCCCAATCACAGGTTACAGTGTCACTTCTGCTAAAGTAAAACCCAGTACAACACTCTACATATCTGGTGCACCACGGTATAACTTGACTGGTGGGGTATTTATTTTTAACGGCTCTGAAAAGTATGTGCTCCAGGGAAATCAGGTATTTGTAGTTAATACTGTTGATATTAACACACCAGACTGTTTGTTTTAAGCTTTTGGCACTCAATCAATCAATCAATATTTCATATTGATTATGTAATACGTCATTTTTTTGAGACCAGACCATTTTTGATGACCAGTTTCCACCAAAATAAATCGAGTAATCTTTAAATGGTATGCATATCATGAATTCATAGAAAATGTAAAATATTTAATAAAAAATGTCAGTGTGATCTTTTAAAACCTCTAAAAAGTTTTTATACAATACATTTAAATTAAATCATTTATTACTTTAGGAAAGTTCTTTTTTTCTTATGATTGATTATTTGGCGCTCAGTCAGTTACAAGCTCCAGTTTACGCGTTTGTTAATGAATTATATATGATATGATATATGAAGTAATGTATAATTATCATAGGTTGGATCTTACTTTGGATCGGTTCTTTGTGCCTTGGACATTGATAAAGATGAATACACAGATTATCTATTAGTCGGAGCACCACATTTTCATCTAAATGGAGAAGAAGGCAAAGTGCTAGTGTACAAACTGAATCAGGTAAGATCATACTCTCCTTTCAGCTCTTGGATATATGTGGACAGGGGTTTAACATGATTTGTATCTCATGGGGGTATTTTTAATCATCCCAAAGCAAGACAGGTTTGAGAGCGTGTCCAGGGAGCTGAAGGGAGATGAAGGACAGACCTTCGCCAGGTTTGGTGCAGCCATTGCCTCTATAGGAGATATTGATGGGAACAAGTTCAATGATGTAGCAGTTGGCGCTCCTCTAGAAACAGATTCCTCTGGAAGCATTTACATTTACAATGGATTCAAACATGGACTTAACTTTTCACAAGTGCGTTTCAGCATATATTCTTTACACTTTCTTGTAGTGTTTACATAATGTTTTATTATTTGAAATTGATTGTTGTAAAATTATATGTGTTTTAATGTAATTTGCTGTTTCCTCCTTAGAAAATTTCACCCTCAGATTTTGGAATGAAACTTGTGCACTTTGGTCTGTCAGTAAGTGGTGCACCTGCTATGGCATCAAATAAGTCCTCCATCGCTGTTGGAAGTCAAGGGGGGGTGATTGTTTTCGAGTGAGTAAAAAATATCTTGTTATATTGTTTAAAGTGACAAACCATTTTTTACACTTTATTTTAATATTACACTTCAAAGTACTTTCTGTTTCATTAATGGATGGTGGAACCTTCTCTATAGACGTTGTTTCATTTTTATACTTTTTTTTTTTTTACAGCACAATCCCTGTTATTGTTATCAAACCAGCTATAATAATTACTCCAGATGTCATTCCTCTCAATCAACAGATGATTGAAATATCCAGCACGTTTGACATAATGTTCCACATATGCTTTGAAGTGATTAATGAAAAGCTTCAAAGTAAGTATTCTCTTTCAGTTCAGTGAAAACTGATTTTCACAAACATTTTTTATCCAAAACAATCCTCATGATTATTTTAACCATATTCACTTTCTGTTATTTTAAGTTGAACTTCCTATTAAGTACCAAATTGCCTTGGATTTTGGAGTAAACAAAAAGCGCCTCACTGTTGACGGCAGAGATCTCTTAGAAAACACTTTCAGCTTGACATCAGATGTAGAGTGTCCACCTGTTATCAACCTAAAATATTTGGTGCGTTGGTTCTCTTTGGCTCTTTTTACCTACCCCACTTGTCCAGTTTTTAAGAAAATAAAACATGTTACAATTGGAACAGATGTTCAGCCTAAACCCAGTACTACTACAAATTGTAAGAATAATTGACAGTATTCACTGAACAGCAAATTATTTCATATAAAAATCATTTGAGAGCTATGACTCTTTTTTATGATACTGACTGAGAAGAACTGTGTCTTCCTTTCAGGGCTGTTTTGATTGTTTTTCACCTATTAAAATCAAGCTGAATTTTTCATTGGATCTCCACCCAAATGAAGCCCCTCTACGAATCCTTGATGCATTTACTCCAACAGAGGTTGTAAAGGAGGTAAAATATTTGTAAACATATTCATAATGTAAAAATGTCTCAAGTTTGTTCACTACTTCACTTCATTTTTCAAATGTTTTAAAAGCAGCGTCTTATGCTCAAGGCTGCATTTGATTAAAAATACAGTAAAAACACTAATATTCAATATTAAAATTTCAAATTAAAAAATAGTTTGAATATGTTTTAAAATATAATTTATTCCTGTGATCAAAGCTGAATTTTCAGCATGATTACTCCAGTCTTCAGTGTCACATGATCCTTCAGAAATCATTTTAATATGCTGATTTGTAGAAACCATGATGCTTTTTTCAGAATTCTTTGATGAATAGAAATTACAAAAGAACAGCATTTATTTGAAATACTTAAATTTGTAACATAAATGTCTTTATTGATTGCCGATCAATTTAATGCATCCTTGTTGCATTTTTTTTTAATGGCTATATAGTTCAGGTATTCTGACAATCGTTTGCAGCAATGGGATGTTCATACAATAAATCTTTTCAAACTGATAGGAGAAATCAAACAAGATTACTGCCGTAGGAACATACAGCTTTGATGAGACCGTCTATACTGCGAAGGATACTTTGAGGACCATTCCGGTGAGCTGCAGTCCTTTTCGAGCATGCAAACATGTTATCACGTATTTAGTTAGTTACTGATAGATTTAATCATGCCATGCAGGTGGAGGTGATCATTACGAAGCTGCACGTGACGACATCTAAAGGTGCCATCATTGGAGGATCCATAGGCGGGTTTCTGCTCCTTTTCATCATCATTATCATTCTCTTTAAGGTAAAACAAACCCTTCTTCTCGGTCTACACACTTACACTGATAATGATGTTTACAAGGAAGATCAAGTCAAGCACATTGCATTGGATACTGTATTCCTTGCAGGAACCTGCAATTGTGTACTGCAAATTTTGGTGAATATAGTTGGTCATTTGAGTGGTTTATGCTTAAAATGTGCATACTGAGGAAATTGTGAGAGTTGTAAGGTTCTATGCTGACTCTGTGATCTCATTTCAGTGTGGCTTTTTCCGTCGCCGCCGTAAAGTGGACCAAGCACAGAGTCCAAACTGAAGACCGGCACAGCCCAGGAGGGACCATATCTTATCATATATCTTGCTTAAGTTTGTGTCAAAAAATATATTGTTTGTAAGATGAATTTATGGTCTTGTTTTTATTGTCAATTTAACATTAAGAAGAAGTTTTAATGATTGATTGTATTTAATATTGTATATAAACCTACAGAAAGAATGAAAGACAAAATCTGTGTTTCTAAGTAAATCTAAATCCTAAATATTCCACAATCAAGGGACCGACAGCTATTCCCTTGCACGGAAGTCATTTGATGAGACACCAAACTCCAAAACCAAAAGTCAAAGATAATTTTTCTGATGGATTTTATGATCCAATTTATAGTATAGCATCTATGGCAATCAAATGGCAAGACCCATTTACAAACCAATTTGCATGAAAAAAAAATCATCTTAAACCAGGTAAGAACTAACCACCAAAATACAAATTTTGGTGGTTAGTTCTTACCTGGTTTAAGATGATTTCCCAGCCTGGTCAAGGTCATGTTTAAGTAGTTGACTGGTGGTTCTGGTAAGCTGAAAAGTGCTCAAACTCTTTATAAAACAAACATATAACCAACTTGCCCAGGCTGGGAGACCAGAAGAGACATCATACTCTTTTGAAATTGGAAATAAAGTCTATTAACTAGTGGTCAATAACCTCCACGTGATGTGTACACACATACAGTCACACACACATACACGTGGTCATGTGATATGCTCTTGCTCTCACATGTCTGGCTATGTTTAGTCTTGCATCTGACTACTGCATGTCACAGCTTGATGCGTAGAAATAAATGGCTACCCAGCAAAGATATTTTTGTTTCTCTCTAAAACTGTGTTGAATCATATTACGCATAATGATTATGCGCCTAAATGCAACGTAAAAGCCACCACATATAACGAAAAGCGGTGACAGATTGGTCAACGAATCGTTCTTTAGAGTTGGATTTTTTCATTAAAACGGTTCAACAAATATGGAGCGATTTTTGTGCCAATATTCATCAAATAACTCCAGCGTTTTGCAAATAAACACAATCTGCTTTGCAAACGCAAAGTGATTTGCAAATACAAAACTCTATTTGAGAGAAAATGCAGAGGTGTGGACAAATAAATGTATTGTGTGTTACAACTGTGAGACTCACTTGCCCTTTCATGAGGAAACTTGGCTCGATTTTCTCACAAATGCATCTGAGCAACTTTCTTTTCCAAAAACAGCAGATAGCGCTGTCGGTCCATTTATTTTACGCTAGTCTCCCGAGTCCCAAAATACCCGTTTACCTTTTCAGGGAATACTGCAGAACATGAGTGGGGAACAGGTGAGTTTCTGTCTTACTATATCTATAATTAACCATTTAGATGTTTTCACAAAGCGACCCTACTACAATGTCAGTGAAATTCACAATAAGTGCTGTAAAGTTGTTAACATGATTGATTAGTTCAAAATCAGTAGTGACATGGCTAAACATTTAAAGGGGTCATATGATGCAATTTCAAGTTTTCCTTTCTCTTTGGAGTGTTACAAGCTGTTTGTGAATAGATAAGATCCCTGAAGTTGCAAAGACTAAAGTCTCAAACCCAAAGAGATATTCTTTATCAAAGTTAAGACTTGTCCACGCCCCCCCTAAAACGGCTCGATACATGTCTACATCATGATGTGGGAAGATTTGCATAACGCTTCTGACTCACAGCCTGTAAGTACGTTTTTTTTATATTTAAAGGATTTGCCACTGACGATTCAAACGCGAGTTTTGAGCAGTGTAGAGTAGCGCTTGTTGTTTGTCATTTCTCTGATCACAAATGCAGACATGGTTTTATGTTTACGCGGCGCGATGCAACGCAATGCGTAAAAAGAAAGTATAAGTCATTATAATCCGGAATTATGTCCCCATGCATGCAACAAATGCCTCGTTTGTAATGGGTTTTATTGGTGTTGTCTCGTCGCTCCGGGACACGGCATCACAGTATGGTAAGGGGCGTAACATTTCCGTCACACGCTTGAGGTATTCGGCCAATCACAACACACTGGATAGCTGGCCAATCACAGCACACCTCGCTTTTCAGAAATTGATGCGTTTCAGAAAGACGGGGCATAGAGGAGAAACAATAATGTACAATATGTGGAAAATAATGTTTTTTTAACCTTAAACCGCATGAACATATTGCATTACACCAAATACATAACATAATGTTCTTTTTAGTAACGTCATATGACCCCTTTAACTAGGCAGTCTTTCCCTATAAAACTGATCCATTCTCCCGGCGTGAAGTACCTAAAGTTTAGCCAAGACCGAGGCCAGGTAAACTGGTTTGCTGTGTCCCTAGTTGCTGGATTACACATTGAAATGCAGGTATATTGGCTTGGAATTTACTTGAATAATGTAATCAGACATTTGAAAAACTACAACTCCCCCCCCTTTAAAAAAAAAAAAAGAGCATTGTTCAGCCCAGCTGAGCAGTGCTCTGTATGACCGAGTCCTTCAGATGCAGCCTTTGAAATAGTTAGCAAAAATTTGTTAATATTCTGACATAAATGTGACCCTGGACCACAAAACCAGTCTTAAGTCGCTTGAGTATATTTTTTAGCAATAGCCAAAAAAACATTTTATGGGTCAAAATTATCGATTGTTCATTTATGCCTAAAATCATTAGGATATGAATTAACGATCATGTTCCATGAAGATATTTAGTAAATTTCCTACCGTAAATATATCAAAACTTAATTTATGATTAGTAATATGCATTGCTAAGAACTTCATTTGAACAACTTTAAAGGTGATTTTCTCAGTTTTTGAAAAAATGTTTGCACCCTCAGCCGAAAATCTGCTATGTTTTGAATTAGGCTATAATCATATAGGTTCTAATTAAATGTGTTTTTATGAGCTGGATCGTATTTGCATGACGTAAAAGAAGGACTGAATCGATTTGTAAGTTTTTTTAAATGAAACGATACAGTCTAATTTAAACCTTTTCTTTTATTAATTTATTTTATTAATTTATTTATTAATGTTTTTTTATTTTCTTTTTTATGCTATTTTTGATGCTATAAAGTGACAACATTGTATAAATCCTCGTATATTTCTATGTACATATTCTTAGATTCAATAAAAAAATAAAAACACAAGTTCTATAAAACGAACTGTTCAAAAGAGTCCATTTGCAGAAATTAATCGGAGATCCCTTTTTTAATTATAATTACACAGTACATAAATCAAACAATTATGACAATACAATTATAAACAAATACAAAATAAAAGAAAGATCAAAAATAAATACAGACTTGCTGCCAGGATAAAAAACATAATACTATAACTAGGCTACATCTCAAGAAGACACAAAGGACGAATATAAACATACCGTTTTCAGTGCATTCAAATTAACAGAACTTTGGATAGTTTCCATATATACTTGTCTAAGTCCACTTTGAATAAAGAAAAGAGAGGTTTAGAGCAAGTAAAGTTTGTGAATGTGAAATTAAGCCAACAGCAATTACAAATTAATGATGTAATATTTCCCTATATTCTCTTTTAAATATTCAAATAATCCAAAGAACGCATCTTTAAAACAAAAAGAAAACTCACTTACAAAATAAGATTGAATATGTATCGGAGATCCCATTACCAGTTCTAATCCCGAACCAAATCTCGCGAGAACGGACGAGGGGATAAGTTAAGGAAACATGGCGATGTCTAATTTGTTAAAGGTAAGAGACACTTAAGCTCTTTGCCTCCAAATTCTCCATAAACAGTCAAAAACCCTTTTAGACGCCTATAACCTTCAAATGACTGTGTTGTACCATTGTGATTTAGCGGCTTGCTCGGACTCTTACGTGCATGTCCAGTGAGTTTATAAGAGAGTCTTGCAGCCTGTGTTTAGCTAGCAGGCTGTGAGCTAGCTGAGATTAATAAAGCCAATAATCACAAAAATACAGGACTGCA